CACAGTGGATCGTCTGGTTCGTGACCTGCTTGCAATCGATGCCTACCAGCCCCTCCAGCTGGTCGGCGGCCGCCCTCGGCCACCGTCTGAACGAGTGCCCATCGACTTCCTCTGCCCCGCCCTTCTCAAGGTAGAGTGCTTGCCCACTTCTCCCATTCCTTCCCACACTTCTGTTGTGTCATTCACCCCCACGTACATTCGTGCCTTTTCCATTCCGATTGCTGGGCAGGGCTTATTTTCTAGATATGAGAGTTGCTATTGGGAATACCTGTAGTTATTAGTTGTCTTTCTCATGAAAAGTAGCATCTGTGCGGACTTACATGGAACAGCTTTGTGGCCTCTTATTCATCGTCACTTACCGGAACCACGGTAGAGGGGCTATCTCACAAAATGTTAACTGAAGTTTTTAAATGTGTTTTTTATTTCGAAGCGATAATGTGATTAGGGTTCGTTGATGAACAGCCTAATAGTGTCTATCTGTAGTAGTACGACAATACACTATCAAGTAGGTACAGTTGGACAATCTAAATCACTGCAATAGGAATAAGGAAATATTAGTGAGGCTGGTAGTATAAATGATAGTGGTGATACAAGCACATCCGGGCTTTCCTTGGTTTCCGTCCTCTCAACTCTATCCATCAGGTAGTGTCATCTTATTGTTAACGAGATGTTATTAATTGGTATCGCAGGTTGTGTCATGTCACATGGTGCTACAGTAGCCTTTTGCGCTGGTACTACTTCACTATTTACCCTCACTCACCCATAGTAGGTGCCCAGAAATATTCGAGGCGCCCGAGTTTCGTATTTCTACTATTGCAACTACTGTTTATACGACTGCTTCTAGTTTCTAGGGTTGTAATACATATCGTTTTTCAGTATAATCACTATTTCAGTTCCGTCAGAACGCCGGCTTTGGAATAAGCTTCTTCACGGCCACCTGCAATAACTCTTTCGTGTAAAAATAAGGGCTAAAGTAGAATAAATGTTCCCATTGCTTCTTACTGTCCTTACAAATTCCGGGGTTATTTTGGTATAGAAAATGCACATAAATGTTCGCTTTATGCGCATTTAGTAGAAGTTACGTCTCTTCTGCCTACATTATACTTTGAGCAAGAGTTTATTTCGGTTTTAAAAACTTTAAAATTAGGAGATTTTTAAGACCGTGAGTACCCACCCAGTTCTGAATGCTGCTTTTGGAATGAGCATGTTGGAATAAATGCAAGGCGAGGGGAGATTGCGCCTGGACTTCTCATCTGCGATAGAGGCCGAGCTAGTGTGAGAGCTTGTCGTAAGTGCTTCGCATCAGAAGAAGTGGGTGGTCCTACGCATAGCAGGTGGTACAAATAAGTTCGGTCTTTGTGGTTAGTCAAATGGACAAGAACCCAACAATCGTTAGCTAGTTAGTTTGCACTAGATTGCTGCAACATTAAATTCGTCCAAAAATATTCAGGAACTTCAGCTAAAACACACACAAAAATAGTTTTCCACGTTATAGTGAGAACAGGCCGATTAAAGTACGTGAAACAGGACCGCAGGTACTGTGGGTAAACAAAGGATATTTAGAACTAACGAATAGTTTAAAAGTTATAGTATTCCGGCAAAGACAAGCACCCTAGGATAGCTATTTCTGGCTTTATTGGTCGCCGTCAGCTAGGGGTAGCCAACTCTAGTGTAGCCGCTGAAATTGCTGCCACACTCGAGTTTCGAACTCGCGTCTCGCCGGTCAGAGGCAAACGTTCTATCCATTGAGCCACGAGTCCGCCGTCTTGCCGGTTGTTGATCGGGAGTATATAATAGTTACTTTTACACCGATCTGTTGATGCTTCGCGAGCTCGGACCAACTGAGTGTGTTTTTCGCAAGGCTACTAATTGTAATGTTACTAATTAAGTTTCCCTGAAAGACAGATTGGTGTACAATAACCTACTAGTTTAAAGGTTATTTGAAACGTAAGCAGTGGTTTACGTGAAAAAAAAATTGATGGGAAGTTACTGAGCTAAATTTTACGGGTTCCATGTAAAGGAATTTTGGTAGTAAATTCGATTTGAATCTCCCTCTTTAGCAGGCTTAGTCCTTTTTCTTTAGTTTTCTACATAGTGAATAGGTCCGAATCTAACCCGTGATACCAAATAGACATTCGAAATTGATCTGAAAGTTTGACTTTCCTGCCTGTCACGCGTCTCATTTGTTACAATGCAAACGAGCTACTCGAGACGTCTAGAATTTTTTAGAGAAGTGGTCCGATTTTTTTAAGTCGGATTGCTTTCAAATATCAATCCATGCCTTCAGACTGTTATAACGACGGGTTCATTTCGTCGTTAGTGTTATGATGATGACATCTGACGTGTGTCACCGTTGAATTACGCCCTGTTGAAATCCCC